AAACTAAATAACCACAATGGTGACATCATCAACCCAATTCAGCACTTTTGTTCACTTAATGAAAACAGCTTCTTCTGAAAGCTTTTTGGGCATTAACAACTGCTCAGCATCTTCATTTATTCTCTTCTGAACTGGCTCAGATTGCTTAATACATATGTACCCTGTGTTAAGAAGGTCGTAAAAATCACAATTCCAATCACCATTTCCGGGCCTACAAGGCCCGCCACTGCGGGGGCTCCGAGTGGATGAGGTGGCAGCGAGACTGCAGGCAAATCAAGGCCATGCAGCAGCGGCGGCTGAGGACGGGACAGATCTAGGGCATGCTAGGCATGGTGCATCTGGTGAGCTGAAGCAAAGCGCACCCACAGGAACACCACCGGCTAGGCCAAGTGAGACAGCACAGTAGCATGAGCTCCAAGGCATGCAAGATGAAGCTAGCTCCATTTATTTCTTAAGTACCTGAACTGTTTACAATATCCATTACAATGTTGTATAGGAATATGGTGGTTCCAATCTTAGAGGAAAGCCATTCAGTTTTTTATCATTAAGGATAATGTCAGCTACAGATTTTTTGTTAGATATGCTTTGAAATTAGGGTAATAATGGCATCATAGGATGAGCTGAAAAGTGCTCTGATCTCTACTTTCCTGGAGTTTGGAGAAAATTATTTCTTGTTTAATTATGTAACATATTCACCAGTGAAGAAATCCGGGACTGGGCTTTTCTGAGTGATGAGATGAGCTTTTCAACAAACTTAAGGCTTTTACTGATTTACTCTATTGTTTTTATATTTTTCTTTTCATTGATTTTTGCTCCAATCGTCACTATTTCCTTCCTTCTGTTACCTTTAGGTTTAGTTTGCTATTCTTATTTTTTATTTATTTATTTATTTTTAGTTTCTGAACATTTTAAGAAAACTTGTCGTTAAGAAACAAGTTAAGAAACTTCTTAACACTTTAAGAAGCTTAGGTTATTAATTTGAAGTCTTTCTTACTGCTGGATTAAGTATCAGGTAAAGTTAGTTGACAGTGTGTGTCCATGTTTCTATATTTAACTTCCAGCCTTCCTGATAATCCTCTCCTGTAGGTGTCCTGGTGAGCATAATACTATCCTTTTTTTTTTTTTTGTTCCTTGAGACACAGTCTCTCACTTTATCCTCCAGGTAGAATGCCATGGCATCACAGCCCACAGCAACCTCAAACTCTTGGGCTTAAACAATCCTCTTGCCTCAGCCTCTCGAGTAGCTGGGACTATGGGTGCCAGCTACAACACCTGACTTTTATCTTTTTAATGATTCATAATCCTTATAATTTTATAGATGGTCAATCCTGAAGATAAATTTTCACTGTATAAATGTACAAAAGATAAAGGCTGGGCGCAGTGGCTCATGCCTATAATCCTAGCACTCTGGGCTCGGCGCCTATAGCTCAACTGGCTAAGGCGCCAGCCACGTACACCTAAGGTGGCGGGTTCGAATCCCCAGCCCAGACCCGCCAAAACA